GCCAAATCCCTGCTTGTGGGGTGAAAACTATCATTAGAACAGGTTATTCAGGACCTCATTTGATTGAATTATGAATATCCCAAGGATGGAAATTAGCCCCTCTCTGCACCTGGAAGGAAACTGTTTCTTTTCATGGACTTTGAGAGGAAAATGGGGGTGAGGAGATTGTGGTGAGCTCAGCCTCGGACTGTTTTTATGTATTTCTGAGTTGCAACTTCCCTTCAAGCATAGGGCACCAAGAGTAAGAAGGACCTGCTGTTCCCTCAACAATTGCTGGAGATGCCAGAGGGCCCATCATTGAGGAAATTCCATTTACTGACCTCCCCTTTTGTGGGCCAAGTGGTGGCCAAGGTGGGGGGAAGCAGCCGGAAGATCAATGTGAATGACCTGAATGCCCTGAGGCTCCAGGACTCCCAGGTGAGCTGTGCTAAAGATGAACTTACTGGTCCATGGCAAGTCTGAGGCAAACCAGCATGGTCCTGCATCTGGGTTGTGGAAGGTGCATAACCTGAGAACAACACCAAGCTTGTGTTTGAGGTGGCTTTCTTTGTAGCCACAAAATAGGGGCATGTGGGCAAAGAGTTGTGAATGCCCATTTTGGAGTTCTGCTTTGTGTTGCAAAGCTTGGGATGAAGGTTCCTGTGAGGAGAGGCTGTTGCAGTGCACAGTTGCTTCCCTTATATCTGAGGGCAGGGTTTCACCTGGCCAGATTGAAGTGTCTGTGCTGTGGCCACTTGTACTGGGTCAGTCCTGCTGGGGTTTCACTTGCCTGACCTCCTTCAGATGATGATTTGGACTTGGCTGACCAGATCCTACTGCAGCCTTACCTCTGATTATGTGATAGTCTCAGCTGAGGGCACAGATGTGAGCAGCTCAACAGTCATTTGTGGCTTCAGAGCCACCCTTGAGTTAGGTCATAGAATCATAGAAGGTTAGAAGGGACCTTTCAGATCATTGAATTGATTTGCATTGAGTAGCACACCAACCCATTAAGGTTGGGTGCTAGGTCACCCTGGCTTGAGAGGCTTGAGGCCAGCAGAAAGTGGGGAGGTGAAGGACAAACAGGCAATGAAACCCTGAATGTCTGTCCTGGTGCGTGTCTTTGGCCTGACAGGAGTCTCTAGGAGGACTTCACAGTGGGGTGGCATCTGAACACCTTGTGCTTCATGTAGACAAAGAAAGGGTGCTGAGAGGAGCATCCTGCAGCTGTGAGGCGATGTGCTAATGAATCCCTTGTTCAGGGTGAGGTGATGCACCTTCTGTCTAAAAGAGGTTGTAGAAAATAGCCACTTCTACAGAAACAGCCTGAGATTATGGTGGATCCTCAGTACATCCCACCTTTTTTCTCAGGTTCATGGGAAGAACTTGTACCTGGCATTTGTGGCAGCAGAAGGTCCCTTAGGACCAACTGCAGAAGAGACAGTGCTGCAAAGAGAGGCTGCTTGTGGGGCAAGTTCTCCTCCTCAGGAAGGGCAAGAGCAGGTTTGTCCTCCACAGCCAGATCCCCAGGAAGAGGAGCTGCAGGAACTCCAGCACTCAAGCTCTGAAGCCCCAGATGAAGCAGGGGGTTCAAGCAGCTGGTTGCGCTTCCATTTTGGCTTGTATGGCAGCATTCGGGCAAATGAGCTCTCAAGAGCAAACAAAGCCAACAAGAGAGGAGACTGGAAAGACCCCGTCCCCAGGTATTTGATGAAGGCCTCACAAACTCTACTTTCTCCCTGCCTCTCGTTCTGGAGAGGCACTCCTCTGTTTCAAACTAAATTTGTGGGGGAATACCCTTTGTCCTGTTGTCTTTTCTCTGATAATTCTTAAGATAAATAGGCATGAGAGAAGAATATGGGGTGTGCTCAACCAAGGAATCCACAGTAGGCTGTTGTTTGGGTATTCCTGTGCTGTAGGTGTCTTTCAGATCTCCCAACAGCATTGGCTGATTGTGGTTTTCCTTGGATATGCCTTATCTTAGTACTGCATGTTCTTCTTCCCCTCGGAAACTGGGTTTTCTACCCTCTGTTGCCTCCTGCCTCCTCCCAGCCACATCTTCTCTGATGCATTACTTTGTGTGTTTCATCTCCTTTGTTTTATGTGATTGGAGAATTAAGTGGTTGCACTTGTGGGATGCGTGTTGCCTGCCAGCCTAGTGCCAGCTCGGTTAAGGTGTTTATTCAAGGAGAGAACTTGTTGCTAGATTGAATTGTGCCCTGAAAATGCCAATTTTTCCCACTTATTCATCCAAGGCTTTTTTTTTAAGCATATAACATACATCTAGGGCAGCTGGAATCACTGGTTAAAGACAGCAGTGCATTGAAAACACAGGCTCTAGTCTGTGTCTTAGGCTCCACTGGAAGTGTCCTGAACAAGAAGGGGTAAATATTGGAAGACAGTGTGGGTTCAGCTCTTGTGAGCTGTTTAATTTGAGCCATTAATAACACCCAAGGTGGGTGTCTGGCCCCTGTGTATGTAGGGACATGCTCCCCGTTCTCCCAGCCTGCAATCTTCTGAAGGATTGCTTTATTTCTGCACACATAATTTTGGATATACTCGATTTTGTGCGCTACTTTGAGCATCAGTTTCCCTGACTGCAGATCCTGCTGCTGTCTCTCAGCTGGGGACCACGGGGCAGCAGAAGGAACAGTTGTCCACCAGTTGTGTGGGTTCACAACCAAGTTTCTTGGCTGAAATCATTAAGGAGGTGACCTGGTGTTGAGATGGTGGCGTTGAGGTGTGTTGGAGTCCCTGCTGTCACCCAGTGGACATAAGAATGTGCAGGGAAGGAATAGCTGGGCTGGGGTACAGGCTTGGGGGACCAGTACTTCAAGATGTTTCCTCTTTTCTCACCTTCCAGTAGTCTTTTGCTCCGTTGCTATGTTGTTCTCTCTTTCCGTGCAAGTTTCTTAAAATTGCAGAATTGTCTAGGTTGGAAGGGACCTTTAAGATCAAGTCCAACCATCACAAAACCACCACTAAACCATGTCCCTCAGCACGACATCTACCTGTCTTTTAAATACCCCCAGGGATGGTGATTCCACTTCCCTGGGCAGCCCGTTCCAATGTTTGATAACTCTTCTGGTGAAGAACCTTTTCTTAATATCCATCCTAAGCCTCCCCTGATTCCCTGGGCAACCCATTCTAATGTTTGATAACTCTTTTGGTGAAGAAACTTTTCCTAATATCCATCCTAAGCCTCCCCTGGTGCAACTTCAGCCAGAGCAGAATATCACAAATGGTTTGGGGGAGTTTTTGACTAGAGATTTCGATGTATCTGCTTCTCCCAGGCTGATTCTGCACTTTGAGAGTGGAGGCTTCCTTGCTTTCTACAACTGTCGAATGCAGTGGTGCTCCTCTCCACGGGCTGATCCTACTTCTGACATCCTCTCTGTGGAGTTCCACCGTGGCCGGGCACTGGATGCTCTCCGTGCACCCGATCCCATCTGCTACACCCTCTTAGACCAAAGATATTTTTCAGGGCTGGGTGAGTTTTGGGGCACAGTGGCAGAGCAAGAAACGGAGGAAGGTGGGTGGGATGTCTACAGATCTAGAGCTGCAGCTCTGAACCTTTTACTCCTTAGCATTATGGCTTCTGGTTGATCCAGCTGGGGGTATGTGGTCATCTTGCTGAGGACAAGGCTCGCAGTCTGTAGCCAGAGGCTTTGGGTGCATGAGTGTGAGGAAGGTCCACTTCAAGGGGAGTGGGAAGAGAACATCTTCCAGGTCCAGTCCCAGCTGGAATTCCAAATGGTCATTTGGAAGGTAGATGACTTCAGTGGGTTCACTGAGGGCTGAAATGATTGTGAAGCCCATGATGTCACTGAACTAGGTGGTCACCGGTCAAAATACTCTGGTTCCACAGTGCCACTGGGCTTGAGGGCTTCTGCCACCGATCTGAAGTAACACAAGCAAGGATGACAGGGAACAAACCCTTGTTGTAGGGGTTGCCCAAGAGCTCGGAAACTCTTGTCCTACTGTGCTCAGAAGATGTTCCAATAAACAGAAGGATCTAGATGGCTACGACAAGCATTGATTAAAGTTTATTGCTTTGATTGGAAGGTGCTCACTGGAATTGGAGGTCAGCTCTGCAATCTTGCTCACTTCTGGGGATCTCTTTTGTCCAGTCTAGCTATGGGTGGGTTTTTTTGCCATCTAAAGTAGCGATACTTATGGGGGGACCATTCTGAATGACTTCTCTGATATGGGGAATGGCATTGGTAGCTGTGATCAAAGGCAGAAGTCACCATGACTGAAGACATAGGTCTGCATTGTCTTGATAAGAAATACCCTGACTGTCTCCTTTTCTCCTTTTTTTTTTTTTTTTTTTGGACCCTTTCCAGGGAATATCATTAAGAATGAGATCTTGTACCTGGCCAAGATCCACCCATTGACACAAGGGTCTCTCTTGGCTCTCTCAGACCTGGAGCGTCTCCTCGACTGTGTGGTTCAGTTCAGCTCGGACTGGCTGGGCAGCAAGCTGCGTGGCAAAGGGCTGCACCACCAGATCTACCGGAAGGAGCAGTGTCCCCTTGGGCACACAGTGACAAAGGGAACCTTTGGACCCTCAGGTGGCTTCAAGAGACTTACGTGGTGGTGTCCACAGTGCCAGCCTCAGGTGCTGCCAAGAGATGGGGATCCTTCCCCAATCACTAAGTGACTTGTTCTGTGTCCCTCCTTTCCTGGAGGGTGTTTAGGTGGTCTCTGAACCACATTCTCTGTTGTCCTGAGAAGGTCTTCGTGGTTTCTTTGAGGCTGTTGAACCAGTGAGTTGGCAGAGTGAAGTGGTCAAGAGAGGTTACAGGAGCTGCTGCAGTGCTGTGCGCCTCAGGGATGCAAAAAGAGAAGTGGTTGTACACATCTTTTTTTTGTTGTTGTTGTCACAGTGACACAACAGTGTAAATAGTTTGGCCAATTCTGAGATGTCTCTTGGTGACCCTGAGAATCTACAGTGAATGGGAAGTGTTAGGTTTCGAGCAGGTGAGGACTGTGGTCTGAAGTGACCTTACCCCTTGACAATTCCACATCTCCATGTTAAAAAAACATAAAAATATATATTCTACCTTAAAAGACTGTAAGGGTGGCCCTAAAGGGGGAGACTGTGAGGCTCAGTCAAGTCACTTGTTACAACTGGAATGGGAAGCCTGACAGCTCTGGTGGGGTGTCTAGCAATGTTTGTGAGAAGGGTGGCATAAAATTCATGATCTGCAAGGTAACTTGAAAGCAGAAGGGTTTAGGAACGGGGATGGTGAGGTCCCTCCTCTGTTGAGTTCTGTCTCTGTGCAGGAGGCAGAAGTTGTCACCGTCCTCTCTGGATCTCAGTTTATTTTGACAATAGATTGTTGACTGAAAAATAAACACTGTGGTTAAAACTGGTGATGTTTGGTGGGTCTTTTCTGGTAGTTTCTTGGTTAAAAAAATTAGATGTACAAGGGAGCTCCAGTGTTTGGTGCTGCCCTTTAGAGGACGGTTTCCTCAGCAGCTTACGGGTGGCTCAGCAGGAAAACTCGCTTCCTGGGAACTGGATTGAAAGGTGGATTGCAAATCAAGAGGGAATGCTGGAGTTAAAGACCTCAGTGGCGGGTTGCTTCCCAAACAGGACCTGCACAGCCTCTCCCTTTAGGAACGGGGATGGTGAGGTCCCTCCTCTGTTGAGTTCTGTCTCTGTGCAGGAGGCAGAAGTTGTCACCGTCCTCTCTGGATCTCAGTTTATTTTGACAATAGATTGTTGACTGAAAAATAAACACTGTGGTTAAAACTGGTGATGTTTGGTGGGTCTTTTCTGGTAGTTTCTTGGTTAAAAAAATTAGATGTACAAGGGAGCTCCAGTGTTTGGTGCTGCCCTTTAGAGGACGGTTTCCTCAGCAGCTTACGGGTGGCTCAGCAGGAAAACTCGCTTCCTGGGAACTGGATTGAAAGGTGGATTGCAAATCAAGAGGGAATGCTGGAGTTAAAGACCTCAGTGGCGGGTTGCTTCCCAAACAGGACCTGCACAGCCTCTCCCTTGTGGACTGTGACGCCCTTGAGTTGGTTACAGGATCACTGAATAATCCAATTAGTGGGGTGATTGTGCCAAAGAAGATGTCACAGAGATGCTGGGAGGGCTGGAGCCTCTCTGCTGGGAGGGGGGGGCTTATATAGTTGGGGGGGTTCAGCCTGGAGAAGGCCCTGGAGAGACCTTGGAGCCCCTTCCAGTCCCTCAAGGGGCTTCAGGAGAAATGGGGAGGGGAGCCATAGGATGAGAAGGAAAGGGTTTTAACGAAAAGAGGGAGATTTAGACTAGATATTAGGAAGAAATTGTTTATGATGAGGGTGGTGAGAGCCTGGCCCAGGTTGCCCAGAGAAGCTGTGGCTGCCCCATCCCTGGAGGGGTTCAAGGCCAGGTTGGAAGGGGCTTTGAGCAACCTGGTCTGGTGGGAGGTGTCCCTGCCCAGGGCAGGGGAGCGGAACTGGATGATCTTTAAGGTCCTTTCCACCCAAAATCACCCTATGGCTGTTAGCGAAGGCCTGGAGCTGGCCCCGGGCCTGAGGGAAAGGGGTTTCCATGGCGGCGGCGCCGCGCGTGGGCCCCCCCCAGTTCCTCCTCCTTCCCGCTCCTCCGGCGTGTGGCGACGGGCGCCGCCGCCCAATCAGCGCCGGCCGGCTTACCGTCACACCAGCCGCTCCGCCTTCCCATTGGCCGGCGCTCGCCTGGTGCGAGCGCGCCTGGGCCAATAAGCGGCCCCGCCGCCTCACCGAGCCATGAGGCGAGCCAGCTGATTGGCGGAGGGGGCGGGGCAGAGGCGGCCCCGCCCGGACTCCGGTTAAGCGGCGGGCGGCGGGGGGGCGGCGGCAGCGGCGGCGGGAGTGATGAGCGCGGCCCCCATGGAGCTGCTGAGGAAATGGCTGGGCCACCCCGAGGAGATCTACAACCTGCTGCGCTTCAAGATGGGCGGCTGCCGGGCCGTCATGGGCATCGCACGGTCCCGGTCCTTTTCGGGTATCGCATGTCTCCGGTGCTTCTCGTTAACGGCACCGATACCGGGGCATCACACGGCCCCGGTGCTCTCCGGGCACGGCCCCGGTGCTTCCCGTTAACGACACCTGTTCTTTCCGGGTATCGCATGGCTCCGGTGCTTCCCATTAACGGCACAGGTACCGGGGCATAACACGGCCCCGGTACTTCCCGTTAATGGCACCGGGCATCACACGGCCCCGGTCCTTTCCGGGCATCGCATGTCTCCGGTGCTTCTCGTTAACAGCACCAGTACCGGGGCATCACACGGCACCGGCCCCGGGCATTCGCACGGTCCCGGGGCATCGCACGGCCCCGGTCCTTTCCCGGTATCGCGTGGCTCCGGTGCTTCCCATTAACGGCACCGGGGCATCACATGGCCCCGGTGCTCTCCGGGCACGGCCCCGATGCTTCCCGTTAACGACACCGGTCCTTTCCCGGTATCGCATGTCTCCGGTGCTTCCCATTAACGGCACAGGTACCGGGGCATCACACGGCTCTGGTCCTTTCCGGTATCAAATGTCTCCGGTGCTTCTCGTTAACGGCACCGGTCCCGGGCATCACACGGCCCCGGTGCTCAGCCGGTCCCTGCCCCCGCACGGCCCCGGTACCGCCGGGCAGGCGATGCTGCCCCGACGGCGCGGAGCGGGTTAAGGGGGCGGGC